GTATTTTTTCTCAGAAATAAGACATTTTCCTGCGGTAAAAAGTATCTTATATGTTGAGCCGGATAACCAGCTATCATCTTACCAAATTTTATCACAATCCCTCTTGTGGTTTTTCCGTGATACGGTAACAGACAAACAGACAGACAGACATACCAAATTTCATCAAAATCCCTCCAGTGATTTTTGTGATGCGGTAACAGACAGACAGACAAAAATTCTAAAAACTATAGATTCGGTCTCTTTATCGATAATAATGTTTATTTAAATAATATTTTCCAAAAAATATTTAATGTACAGATTCAGCTTAGTTAGCTTAGTACAATTTTATTATATGTATAGATTTTAGTTAAATAAACCATACCTATATGGTTTGCAATAAAAAAATTATTTAAAATAAATAATATTAATCTTTTAGGATTTTCTTAGTCCCTCCCGTGACCATGTTTGTAAAGCATTTTCAAAGCCAGAAAACAAAAAAAAAATTAAGGAAAAGTAAACCGTGACAAAATCCAAAAAGATGATACTTAAAACTGTCAAATATTCGCGTAAATTAAAGAAAGTACTGTTCCCTCTCAAAGTAACTTCTTGTTGAATAACAAACATCCCTTGAAGTATATTAATGTATATTTTTATAATCTGGAGATGGACGTAAATGACTACGACACAGTTTTAACTAATCATTGTCATTCATCATTCATTATCTAACATAATTTTGTAAATTGTAATCTTTAAAACGTGCTCAATAAAGATTTTTAGTATTATTTTTATTATTATCCCTTGACGTATGTGTGAGCAATCCATCCTACCGTGGTTTAGATGAAGTTTTTTGAACACAATATGTTAAGCAAGCCAAAATCCGCAATAACGGCACAAGAATCAAACAAAGGATGCGCTTACACCTACAATGTAGTAGTACAAGACAATCTCCTAACTTCCTACTAAGTTGACAAAGTACACACTAAATTATGTAAGATACGGTAGCGGGGCTTTAAACTTCGTCCCTCTTCGAAAGGACAACTGTGCCGGTTGCACGAGATTTTTTTAAACTTCTGAACACATTTTTTTACAAATACCAAATGACTGTCTTCAAATAATATATTAAATCTTATATCTTTAAGCGAGCAATTCTTGTGTGTGTGTATATATATATATAATCTCGGAAGCGGCGCCAACGATTTTGAGAAAAATGTGTACGTGGGGGGTTTCGGGGGCGTTAAATCGATCTAGATTAGTCTTATGTCTGAGAAAACGCGTGTTTTAGTCGGTATGAATAAAATATGGTCGGTAATTTGCACGCTCGGCTATAAGCATCGTGGTCAAGCGGCCAAGGTGCAAGATCAACAATCACAGGTGTCCGGGTTCGAATCCCGGTCGGATACAAAGGTATATTTTTTTGTTTTTTTTTTGTATTTATTAAAGTTTTTAGTTTTTTTTAAAAAAAGAAAATTGTACTTCTGAACAAAAACTCCGAGCGAAGCTCGGTGGCCCAGGTACTATACATATATAATAAAAATTAAGTATCAATTTATTTCTAGAAAATTAAACTTCCCAAAATTCAGAGTCAAGACCATCCCTTTTAAAATAAGCAATCGAAACAAATTGAAATAACAGACTCGACACTTTAGTAGATTTAAAAATAAACAATGAAAAAGCACATCTGATGCGACGAGCAATTTCAGAAATATACAATATCAACCTACGAATAAATTGACTTATTATTTATTCGTAGATACGAACTATAATAGAATGTAAATCAAATAGTTAAAAAGGTACTTTTAAATATAGATTAAAAGTATTTGCATTGAAATGTTTTTTATTTAACTATTTAAAAACACTTAAAAGTGTTTTATTTTATGACATACTTGCTTTCACCCGCAGTTCTGCTGGTTTGTAATAAAAAAAAAATGTCTTTCATACACGAATCTCTTAATGTACGCTTCAACGTAATCAGCCCAGCCGTTTCGACAATGGCTAATCTAAAACATATTACCTATATAAAATAGGTAATTGCGGGTAGATGTTATGAAATTTAGAATTATACGTTTTTATGTGTGGGAAATGTAAAAAAATATATAAAAAATTGTTAAAAATTTAAAAAGCTCTGGATCTTTAAGTGCCACCTACCGGGTCCAACTTTAGCTAAGAACCATCTTTTTTTTTTTAACGTTGGGAAATGCATTTACGCACGAGATGTGGGACTCACCGGCAAAGCCAGTACTACCCACTAAAACCCAACAAAGCCTTCTTTTAAGCCCCGTCTTAATGGGGCGTCGCAGGATCGCTTACGCATTCAACTACGACGCCCCGACGGCAGGTCTGCCAAAGCAGACCACAACAACCACGGGGTTGCTCCAAGGTCCACTCTGCTATCAGAGAAGTACCAGGAGCAACCCGCATGATACACCGCCCTCCGAAGAGGGCCACCTCCCACCGCCCACCGTAGTGGGCCACCACCCTGTGCGTTTCTTGGCTTCGCGCCCGGTTGGGTTGCCGGGCACTACTGAGCCCCCCCACCACGACAAGGTGAACGCACGTTGGGGGGGAACTAAGAACCATCTAGGTTAACCAATAAGAAAATATTTTTTTTATCAAAATCGGTTAGGCAGGAAAGAAAAGAATTACGAACAGACACATACACACACTGGAATATTATACATATATAAAGATGATTTACACGCTATCGTTATGGTGGTCATGTGGACAACGGAACATGTTTTGAACTGATAAATACCTTTAATTACTAGTTACGAAACTAACGAAAATAATAGATATTCAGCACGTATGACGACATTCAATTAATAATTTTATTTTAAAAACAGTAAAATAAGGTAAATGTACTAAAACTTAAATACTATCTTCTATACATGTAACAAAATTCTGAGTTGAATCAGTACATTAAATATTTTTGGAAAATCTTATTGAAATAAACATTATTACCGATACAGAGGCCGAATCTATAGTTTTTAGAATATTTGTCTATCTGTCTTTGACCGCATCACGAGAAAACCACTGGATAGGTTTTGATGAAATTTGGTATAATGATAGCTGGTTATCAGGGTCAACATATAGGGTACTTTTTTCTGCGGGAAAATATCTTATTTCTAAGAAATCTATACTAAACTTTAAACGTAACTAGGGACGAACCCGAATAGAGTGAGGGTGAGTTGCTAGTAAACTTTAATCTTTAGAATAGTACATTGTGTGCCACTACCAATCGGGTAAGTGCGGAGCCAATCCATCTGATGGTAATCTATTCAAAATACATGAAAATCAACGCTAAATAAAGTTGTATTGTTATATTTATATTGTCCGCCTAAAATATAGTTTGACGTAGTTTTAATAACGGTGGATTCATGGATGTTTGTTTGTTAGTCTTTAACGCAAAATCTACTAAACGTATTTTTATGAGTTTACAATATTTTACAATCTTTTTAAGTATATATAAATCGATGTCTGTATGTATATTGGCTATGGACGCCAAAACGGCTGGAGCGATTTTGATGAAATTTTAGGCAATCTTCAGATTAGCCAGCCTGTGAAGTTTGGTAGCGATCGGAAGTTAGAACGCCGGCGAAGCCGCGGGTACTATGTAGTAAGCCATAATTTTTAAAAATATATTTATAACTACACGTGCAGAACAGCGGGAAAACGATTGTAGACTATAGTCCTTTAAATCCAATTGTAATCAAATTATCAGTTCTGCAGCGCACAAAGGCTAGATCTATAAACAATTAGCAATGCAGGCATTCAAATTTAGTGTGTGCGTGTGAGATCTGAATACTAATCAAGCTGTCAATACTCCGAATAAAGAGATGGACTACTGAAAGCTTCGATATACTGAGCTATTCTCAATTAAAGAAGGATATTTTTAATAGCATTTAATCAATTAAAATACTTATTTAAAACTTTTTAAAATCGATGTATCGAAAAGGAAATATAATGAAGATATCGATATTTTTTTACTAAATTTAGATTTGTTAGACTGTTTTATCATATTGGCCGTCAAGGGGCGGCGTAACGAGTAAAATGTGCCTCGGGGTGAGTAGAAAAAGACATCGTGTTGCTTTATCATCATTCATCACTTGTACTGACGGAATCTAAAACGATCTTTTCTGAAAAACGGTTCTTCATGTTATTTTTTTAATCAAACTCTACAAATACTTATATTTTATTTAAATACTTTTGACTCATAATTTACATATAAAGGTAAAGTTAGTTTTATTATTACGTAGCTTTCACGAGTACCTAATAGTACTTTGCTCATAAAAACCGGTAAAAATTCTGCAGTTGTTTCAGGGTTCCGCACCCGAAGGGTGCCAATGAAACCCTATTACTAAGCCTCCGCTATCGTCTATCAGAAGGCTATATCTCATGAACCGTAATAAGTAGAGTTGAAATTTTCACTAGAGTAAGTATTTCTATTGCCTCGACCGATGTTTTAATTACCTTTATTAATAAAAAAATATATAATAACAAAGTGATTGGTGAAAAGAGTCATAGATCACTACTTAATCAATATTTTGAAGCTTCATGGTATTTTATTCATAAAATCAAAAATTTAATTTGGTAGCAAAACTTTAGTGTGGTTAAGCCTTTATACATAATTCGTATTAGAATTCGGTGTCCAATCTACACAAAGACGATTGCATATAATATCTAATACCTTAACATTAAGTAATTGAATTAATTGAAATTACTAATTCTAAAATATGTTTAATATTCAACTAACTAACAACACACCCACGTTATGTAGGATCATAAGAGCCTGTATAATATATCCTTAAAAAATTGTACATGTTTTACTCAATAATTGTTGTCTTAAAATTAATATTTTTTACCATTTACGTGTACTGGTAAATAATAAATATTATAATATGTTAAAACCAAAAGTAATCAATATGACCATTTTAAACTTAAAAATCTAATCTAATGTGAGTATTAGATTATTATTATTTTATTAGTATGTTAATAAAAAAGAATTAACTGTTTCTTTAACTTACCAAAACTAGTGGCAATTTGTACAAAAGCAATCAACATCAATGCTGTAGCTGCAACAAGAAATGAAAGTTTTATCTAAACGGAACTAAAAACTAACAAAAAGTAAATATATATAAAAATATAGGCATTTACTATTTTAATTTACGTACTATATGCACGTAATTAAAAACTATGTCAAATTAATGCTACATAAAAAAATTGACATGTAAAAGGTCATTTATGTACATTTATTACACATATTGTTTTTATGTTGTAACTTATTGTTTTTCATGAAAAATAATAATTTATATTACAACCTATAAAAAAATAAAACTGTCAGATATGTTTTTTTATTAACTAATAAGAATTAACAACTATGTTTAAAAAAAACTATAAAAAAAAGGAAATAAATAAATGTTAGGATACGACGCGATATACCTTTCGCGATCATTTTGGCGGGAACTTCTGGCGAGCGTTCGCCTCCCCCTACGTTCGAAACGACACTGCCGCCAACCTTTATGATACTAAACATCTATTTTTTGATAACAGATTACCGATATTATTGATTTGAAAGATTTTCATGTGAAAAATTTAATTTTCGTTCAAAGTTTTTACACAGTTTTTGGTCTGTGTACTTTGTTAACTTTTTGAAAATTGTTATTCGGCTATATGAAAAATCTTATATACCTTCCTTTCCTCATATTAGACTCACGTAGCGAGATAAAATTTAGACCAATATAATAATAATAACCTTTTAAAAGAAAATTGTTCACTGTTAAACATCTAATAAAAATATATTATAAAAATAAAAAACCCGATTGCATAAAAGCTGACTAATAAAATGAAAACAATTTGACGAAGGAATATAGTATAATCACAGATCATATACCTAGTATAACTAGCATTGCCCGCGGCTCCGCCCGCGTTCAGATGACCAAAAATCAAATTCTTAGGTTATACATATTAGTATACTCTTACATTGCAGTTTTTGTATTTTTTCTCAAAAATGAGATATTTTCCCGCGGTAAAAAGTATCCTATATGTTGACCCGGATAACCAGCTATCACCATACCAAATTTCATCAAAATCCCTAAAATGGTTTTTCCGTGATGCGGTAACAGACAGACAACAGCCAGACAAAAATTCTAAAAACTATAGATTCGGCCTCTGTATCGATAATAATGTCTATTTCAATAAGATTTTCCAAAAGATATTTAATGTACAGATTCGGCTTGGTTACAATTTTATTATATGTATAGATATGCCGAATGAGTATTAAAATTTAAAATATGTCTAAAGTATGATAATTCATGCACGGTTATAGAGCGAATTTGATACGCTACGAATCAAATCGTTACATGTGTATTTATATTTAGGTCTGTTTTATTACCGAAAAGAATTATTATTATTTTGTTTCTATCGAAATTGCATCGGTTCTTGTCATATCCGATGATAACTCTACGCACGCCGGAAAACTGACTAAACACCACTACAGATATGACAAAGTTTATCATTTAAACAGGGATTCCCCATCAGACGCCATTTTGTGAGTTGTAGGCCAAATGAAAATTGCAAATATGAACAATGAAAAGTGATAATCTTGATCAGATGGATCACCTGTAAGTTGCCTTCCTCGAACCGAGGTAGATATTTGTTACAGATATCTACATAACACATCTTCCATTAAGATAGATAACTATCTAGTCGAACTCTTTCAAGAATTTGCAATTTTAATAAAATTAAAGAGCTAGTTAGTTTCAAAATTACCGTCCTGTGAATATTCAAGAAGCTTTCAAGAAGTCTAATAAACTGTGGCGTTTAAAGCGTTATTTTATGAGCCAAGGCGTAGAAGCCAAGTTATTTTACCTATAACGAAGAAAAACAACCATTGTTTATATTTAGCAATATGTTAAAGCAGTAGTATGGTTGGTTATACTATACTAGCTGTGCCCCGCGGTTTCTCCCAAGTTAAATTTATTTGATTATAAACATAAGTTTTACAATAATGTATGGAAGTCTGTCCGATTTGTTGACATTTCTGATTACTGCTCCGCTCCCTTGGGTAGTAGCGTGATGATATATAGCCTTCCTCAATAAACCGGCTATCTAATGCAAAGATATTTTTTTAAATCGGATAAGCAGTTCCTGGGATAAGCGCGTTCAAATAAACAAAGAAACTAACAAACTCTACCTCTATAATATAAGTATAGATGTAATTTATTTCATATTTGTTTGAACGCAAATTAAATGTTTCATGAATCTAATAGATAGATAAATTCTATAGGAAATATTAGCGGCTCACCCTCGCGTCGTTTTCGCTCGGGTTCGTCCTTAGTGAAAAACAAAAACAAATTTGTCCCACAGGAACCGTACATTTTTTTCTGGATAAAAAGTAGCTTATGTGCTATTCCAGACTATTATCTATCATTGTGCCAAATTTCATCCAGATCCATTCAGCCGATCTGGCGTAATTGAGTAACAAACATCCATCCACCCAAACTTTCGCATTTATATAGTAGTAGGATCAATAATTCAATTACCTACATACCTAATTTTTCCTGAAACGGCCTACTTTTTTAATATAACATTACTCTCATCTTAGTTCATTCTTGTCTGATTTTATTATTCATCTAAATCTTGGGCAATGTGAGAGCTGGGCTGTCAAGTATTTGTACTATAATTGCAAAGAAATTCTAAATCGCTTCGCTCAACCGCGTCCATAAGGAACTCTTGGAAAACACAAATGTCTAAAAAGTTAGTGCCAGCTGACCAGCTATCGCCGCAATGACTTTCCCGACAATAACTCAAATCTTTATTGCTAATAGGTTAGCTTTATTAACCAAATCCATACAAATATACCTATATAATTCGTTGGCTTACTATTACAAGGTTCTATGTTCATTTTAATGAAGTTTAATAATTTTTACATAGAACTTCGTTATTTTGTTGTCGTAAAAAAAACAACATAGAACTAAGTAAAATTGAATATTTTGTAGTTATAGTGCTATCTGGTGGTTTGTTTTTGCAATACTGTAGCTAATGACACATAGAATCTTGTAGCATTAATAACTAAATAAGTACCTAAATTGTAACATAGAACCTTGTAATAGTGAGCCAACGAATTATGTATGTATATAAAAGTGACAGGTCATTAGTTCGTTGATTAAACACAAAAACTCGAAAAATCTAAAAAGCATTTCGAAATTTGGAGAAGTGGTAGCCCAGTGACAACGCACTTGCTTGGGAAACCGTTTTCAAAGCCGCATCTACGGGTCTAGTATCTCTTGATATTTTTATGTGCGAATCATTTCCAACATGATTACCGCTTGTCTTACGGGGAAGGAAAACATCGTAAGGAAACCTGCAAGTCTGAGAGAACCTAGCAAGTCTTCAAAAGACATGTGCAGTCCGCCAACCCGGGCTTGGCTAGCGAGGTGTATTATGACCTGATCCCCCTCATATTGATGGGAGGCTCGGGCTCAGCAGTGGGCCGTCAAAAAGGGCTGAATACAGGTAATTTATAGCTAATCCCTCCACAACCGCAGACACGCCGGCGTTACAGTTAACAATAGATTTCTTAGAAATTTAATTCATTTCTTAGAAATTTACCTAGAGGTGTTAAGAGACATCAACAGCTAAGAAAGAATTTTGCGACAGGTCCGGTACCTATGTTTTTGCTGCTAGAGATATAAAGATGAGTTATTCGGTCTACACATAATAATCAACTACGCAAGCGAAGCCGCGGGCGCTGTGTATATATCGCAGGCATATTGTAAAAGCCGTGAAATTAGAATTTCACTAGTCCAATCAAATCAAATCTAAAAATCAAAGTCAAATCAGTGACCATTTCAAAATTTAACGGCTAATAATACTTTCTTAGATTTACGCGAATATTTGACATTTTAAATAAAACTATTTTTTTGGATTATTTCGCGGATTTATTTTGATTTTTGGTTCCCGACGTTTCGAATTCTTTACTGCAATCATGGTCACGGGAGAGACTAAGGTTATAGACGTCTGAAAGACATTATATACTTGTTACAGAAAGTGCCTTACAGTGGCAGTGGCTTTTTATCATTTAGTAAAATTGTCACATTGATTCACAATATCACTGAACGTATTTAGTGAAATTATAATATACCTAACATTGTCCCATGGGCCATGATATTATAAGAAAAGGAGACGATTGACAACACTTTGGGCAATAAATATAGACCCTGAAACAATAGTTATCCAAATTTTTGTCTGTCTGTTTGTATGCGTGTTTGTCCGTATGTCCGTTTGTCTGTATATCTTAACTTTTTACACAAAAACTACTAAACGGATTTTGACTTAATTTTGTATAGTGATAAGTAATAACTTACTAATTCAGGTCAACCTTTAGGATACCTTACAACTTGTTCTCTCGAGTCGTCCCTAAAAAATTTTGCTTACTAAACCTTAAGAGATACATGAAAACAATGTACTAGAAATTTTGGTCTTAAAAAGGCCTAAAGAAATCCAATAAAAAAAACCATAATGGCATATGTCTATTTCCTAAGGTACACTCCCAATTACAATTTTTATCTAATCTATATTAATATTATATATAGTTTGTGAGATTGTGATGTTGTTGGGAGTAATATCTGGATCTACTGTAACTGTGTACTGTGTTTAGATGAAATTTGGTAATAAAATAGTTTGAGACCCTGGGAAGGACATATTTTTATCCCAGAAGTCATCCCTTAACGGGGTAAAAATGGGCATGAAAGTTTGCATCGGGAATCAAGATAGGGAGGAACCGGAGCAAAGCACTGAAGCGAAGGATGAGTTGCTAGGTAAATTATAAAAACATACTTAGTGACGCACCCGAGTAAAGCTAAGGTAAGTTGTAAATGTAAGCATGTATCTTAAGAACCTATTAAGACTTTATTCATAAATATAGAATTAAAGGAACACAAATTTAAGTTATGCATCAGATTGAGATAAATGTTACAAATTCCATTAATGTGTGGCAGATGCAGGCAGATAAACTGCTTATCAATGTAAGTAATTATAAATAAACTATTAAATTTTGATACAAAAAATATTTAAAAAATCGGCAGTATTTTTAATAACATCCTAAAATAGAATCTTAAAATTAAAAAAATCATAGTAGTTTATTAAAGTATACAATGGTATACTTTAATAAACTACTATGATTTATTTTTAAAAATCAATGTATTTGCATACAGTACAGACAGACAGTAAAGGTGCTTTTATAACAACAAACAAACATAACATAAAATGTACAGACTACTGTGTTAAAGCATGAAATAAAAACAAAAGAATAAAAGAATGAAATAAGACAAAAGTCAAAACTATCTGTATATTACAAAGTCTAACTTAAATCTTTAAATTGAAGATATACTATTTTAAAAACTACATATTTTTACTAATGGAACTTACCAAGACACATATTTGATATTAAGTAACATATAAAGATTTAACTATAATTAGTAATTACGCTAAAACGAAATATTGCAAATATGCAAA